CCTGTGCTATGAAATGCACTTTCATCTGCCATATGTGAAGCAGAAACCATCAGTTGCTTCAGATGTCTTGTAAAGAGATACCTTTTTTGTCCAGGCTTTCCCTGACCCATAAAATTGGGTCCTGTTTTTAATTCATTTGAATTCCCTGAATTTTTGTCTTTATTTGTTGTATATGCTTTCATACTACTGTTTTACTGATTGAACACTGGTTAGAGATGTTAAAATATTAAGGGCAGTTATTTATTTTTTTATTACTTTACTTTTAAATCCTTTATTAGGCATAGCACACCACACAGTAACAAACAAACATCATATACAGACTGTATAAAATACGGGCTCAGCGAACACAATTTATCCCCGTCCTATTCTTAACTCCAAGAAATAAATCGATGTACATAGATAATATAATACAACAACACAGCAACATCACCTACCATTAAAAACCACTAAGTCTCTTTATCATGGCCCATTCTTTCTTCATGGACAGCACTTAAAAATTCAGCCACTATTATAGTGGTTTGATCATCGCTGTCCGCCAGCAGGTCCTGAACAGTTGGTTGAGTAAAAATCTGTCTATTAACTTTTAGGGCCTCAAATAATTGTTTTCTGGCATAACTACCAAAATCACAGGAAAAGAATATATGCTCTAGAGTATCGGGTTCCTGTTTTCTGCATTTGCAGAGACGCTCTGATTCTGGGATGGCTAAGTATCTTCCTCTCACTACCACCGAGGGAAACATGTTGAATCTGGCCAACATAAACAGCCTACACGATTCATGTTTCTTCAGATTTGTCATGTATCCCTTTTGGAAATCTCTACACAAAGGGAGATTTAAGTGGATAGGAGAGCAAATGCTGTGCTTTGCAGCCTCAAGCATGGTGAGAACACTTTTTTCTGTAAGAGTCTTCCTGATGATTTCCCATATGTCTTTGGGATCAGAGGTTTCAAAATCAATTAGAGTGAGCCCTATCGAATCCAATTTTCTCCTACAAATCAATGATAGATTGTAAATTGCACTATCACTTAAAAGATCGTAAAGTAGAGAATTAGGGGATAGGGCTCTATAATGGAGGAAGATCCAATATTTCAAGGTCCTCAACCATGCTCTTACTGATAAAGGCAATATTCCCAGCTCACAACATATTGTTTCATATTTTACAGAGTTTGCAAGTCCTAATAATGACCTCAGAAGGGATGCGTGGAATTTATCCAACCTCTTGAGGTCACCTGAAATCCACACTGGTGTGCCGTATAGAAGTTGGGCACAAAGTTTCATGTCAATCACTTGCAATACAGCTGGAATAAATCTGTTTCCTACTGGAGAAAAAAAGTAGGATTTAATATGGTGGGCTGTCACTTTGGCCTTAACTATTGCAGCACATATATGTGTATTCCAATTCATATTATTTTTAAATGTGATTCCCAGATAATTGAAGTGCTGAACTTCCTGTATTGATTTTTTTATTACTTAGTCAGCGTTTTATGGGCAATTGGTTTGAAAATTGAAGACAGGAGAGAAACCTACCAAGTTGCAGCAAAATAGGTCCAGAGGGTTTTGTGGTAGGTCAATTTAAAGTTGATTTTGGAGTGAGAAAAACACTGAGCCCCTCCGGATTGGTGGGTTTTTTTTGCAGGTGTATCCTGAAACGTGTTCTTGATACAATAATAGTATATTAAAAAGTAAAGGGACCCCTGACTGTTTGGTCCAGTCGTGGACAACTCTGGGGTTGCAGCGCTTATCTCACTTTATTGGCCGAGGGAGCCAGCGTACAGCTTCCAGGTCATGTGGCCAGCATGACTAAGCCACTTCTGGCGAAGCAGAGCAGCACACGGAAACACTGTTTACCTTCCCGCCAGAGCGGTACCAATTTATCTACTTGCACTTTGACGTGCTTTCGAACTGCTAGGTTGGCAGGAGCAGGGACCGAGCAACGGGAGCTCAAACCGTCGTGGGGATTTGAACCACCAACCTTCTGATTGGCAAGCCCTAGGCTCTGTGGTTTAACCCACAATGCCACCCGCATCCCTTACAATTGCATATTAGTGGTGGATTTATTTTTACTTTAGTTTATTCTGCAGTGCTCCCCCAAGGCTTCCACAATCTTCCTGCCCAGAAGGGCAGCAGAAGTGGGAGGCGATGGGAGGAGGACCCAATCATTTGTGGTATAAAAGAAATACTGCTTTAAGCAGGAAGTTATGGAATTTGCACTGATTGGAAATGAATCAGTGTGACTGCCCTAAAGCGTCTGCAGGTGCAAACAGTATTGAAAGTAGGATTACGTATGACTGTCCCAATAGCGTCATGAGCAGAAATAATCACTAAAAAGGACATCTGGCGGGATCCTAAAAAGAATTTGCTTTCTGGGTAAAACTCATTTCCTCTCTTTACAAACTAGACTTGTGAAGGATCTTCTCCACCCTGGCATCTTCCTTAGAGGCATTCAGTTTTGCTCTTGCAATGCTAGTCCCTATCCCAAAGCACTGGGATTGGAGAACACTGCTTAAATCATCCTCTCTTGATTACAAGCTAGACCCATCAGTCATAAAGGACCACTTCATCTGTACCTGATCCCCACTCTGTTATTTGCTCCGCCTTCCTCCATCATCAAACTCTGGTATTATGTCATGATGGCAAACTTAGGTATTGTGAGAGCCAGTGTGGTGTAGTGGTTAAGAGCGGTGGACTTGTAATCTGGGGAACCAGGTTCGCGTCTTAGCTCCTCCACATGCAGCTGCTGGGTGACCTTGGGCTAGTCACACTTCTCTGAAGTCTCTCAGCCCCACTCACCTCACAGAGTGTTTGTTGTGGGGGAGGAAGGGAAAGGAGAATGTTAGCCGCTTTGAGACTCCTTCGGGTAGTGATAAAGCGGGATATCAAATCCAAACTCTTCTTCTTCTTCTTCTTGTGATGTCTGGATTCCCAATGTGCCACAGAGGGCTTCAGAGGTCCCTGCTTCCTCATGCCCATCTAGCAGAGGCCCTGTTTCGCCTGAGGCCATACCCTCCAACATGTTGAGTCCCAAAACTGGGACACACGTTTTCCCATCCGTGCTCTTGTATGAATCACATGGCCTATGCAAGATCACAGAGCCTAAAAGAAGCACTTTTGGAGTGCCATGCTCTCACAGTGCCCAAAAATGTGTGTTTGGGGGCACTGCACAAGATCATGCCCCCCAAAGGTGCTTTTAGAGGGGCGAGATTTTGACTGGAAATTGTGAGAGATAATGGCACCCAAAATGGCCGCCATGTTCTCACAGGAAAAAATGGGATGTCTCCTTTTTTTCCCCAGGACACTTGCGTGGTATGTGAGGCATCTCACTTTGGCTTGGGATGTGTCTAAATCTGTGGCCGGTGGCAGAAGTCAGTGAGGCTGTCGGTATTCGGCAAGAGAGTCTGGCAATGCTGGACATAGCTCCTGAAAACCACAAGCAGGTAGCTAATATTTATCACAAAGCAAGACAACTATTATATTATACCTTGGACACTTTTTTTTTTTTTTTAGGATTGAGACTCCAACTACACCTCTCGTTCATCTTGGAGTGGTGCTCTACTTCTTCCAAGCCTTACTGTCAATCCCAGGATATGGTCTGAGTTCACATGATGCAACTTGCTGAAGACTAGGCTAAAACTAGGTCTGATCAGGGGTTGGATGGGGGAACACCAAGAACCCCATTTATACTGTGAGCTCTGTGATAAATTTAGTGACTAAATGAAATGCCAGGATCCTTACTAGACTCTCTTCCTTCAAACGGTCACCCCTATATTTCAAAATAATTGGTACAACCTTGTTTTCAGGCTTTCCTCATGCTTAGTAGGAAATGTTATTAAAATTGCCCTTCAAAACAAAGTACTGAAATATGGATTACATATGACTGTGGAATTAACTAGAAGGGTACAGTATTCATCTTGTCATTGAAATAATATAAAGCAAGTAGAAATAAGAATTGTGGTCTTCAGCAAATTGGTGAGAAATGTTATTAATATGCTGATTAGCATAGATGTATGATTATATGGTTGTAACCTGCCCAGGGCCATTGTGATGAACAGTGAGCAAAAAAATAATAATAAATAAACATAAAATTTTATTTTTTAAAAAAAGATGCAACAATTTATGTTAACCCCAATTTGCACCATAATAAGGTGATTCAAAGGTACACTATACACCTGCCTACATCTCCCTTCTCTACTTCGATTCTTCTTATGGTTCAGTGCAGCAGCAATGGCAAAGCTGCTCTCAGAAGTCTGTTGTGATGCTGTCGCTTGCATCACCACATGTGGTGGTCAAGCAAACTGCAGCATGACAACACCCTTATCTTCTTATTATATGTATTACTTGGCACTGCCCTCGGTGTGCACCATCAGTTTTTTGTTGAATATTTATTATAGTATATATTCGGCTCCACAGTGTATGCATGGCACTCCACAGAGTACCAGAGAGCAGGCCCCTGCCCCAGGGAGCTTACAATACAAAATTCCACACAGAAAACTGCATACAGAAAATCAAATGTAGAATATCAATTATACACTAAAAATAATACAGTTAAAGTGGCAGTTTAATCATACAAGATGAGCAGTGGACAATAAATAAAAAATTAATTCTGAAAAGCTTTGGGTATTTTATTTTATTTTTTATTGTATGAGTGCATCTGAAAGAATGGGTATCAAGAGCATTCATCTTTTCCAATGGTAAAAATTTTACATTAAAGGGGCCACAGCACAAGAAGTCAAGGTGTATAGTAGAAACTCTGGGCACGCCCCCCCCCGGCCTTTCTGCCAGGGAATTTAGTGACAGTTGCTGTTTTACATGCTTAGATGCAGGCTGATGCAAAAGCAAACAAGCAGACAGATCAGTTTACTTATTTAAAAGCATTTATAAACTTCCATTTTAAAAAATCTCTGTGTTGTGTGCAACACAGAAAAACACACAATCGAAACAAAAATGCAGCCCGAAACCGATCAGACAGCAGTATAAAAACATGTAAAAGCAAATAAAACAAAACCCCAGGGGATTCCAGCACATCAAACAGAGTCCAATCTTACGGGGCCAGGGCAAAAAGAGAAGTCTTTTCCAAGACGTAAATTACAAGAAGACACGGAGCTAAACACCAGCATCTCCATATACTTGCTGGGTGTTAATTTAAAAACAACAACAACAACAAAAACCTAGATGTTCCACACAGAAAACTGAGGCTGCACATTTCATAAAGCGAAAAGGGGGCGGAGCCTGGCGGCCTCGCCCCGCCCCTTCCCGGGAGCCGCTCCGTCTGCTGCAGCAACGGGGCGGGGCTCCCGGGGCGGGGCCGCCTCCCGCGGGTCAGCTGAGCGGGCAGGGCGACCAAGTCCGGGAGCGGGGCAAGGCAGGCTGCCCTCTTCGCCCCGCGGGGACGCGCCGACAGGCCACACAAGAGGCGGGTAAGGAGCGCCGGGAGTCCCCGGGCTGGGGGCGCGCGCGTCGAAGGGCGTCTCTTGCTCGCTCGCTGCAGCCGCTCGGCGTGCGTGACGGGGCTCAGGTGGGCGCCGCCCTGTCGCAGAGCAGCCGCCTTCCCCCCAACTCGGACGGGAAGGGGCGCCCCGTCGAACTCGGGCGGCCAGGCGGCTTCATCGTGGAGCGGGCGAGCGGAGGGCTGGCTGGCTGGCTGGCTGGCAGTTCCGCATTCCTATAGCCCCTCGCCTTCCCCGCCCCGCGGCTCAGCCTTCCCCGCCTCGGAGGACGGCTCTCTCCGCACGACGGCCTTCCTTCTCCGGCCGTCTGCCTGCCTGCCTCCGCGGCTCCTCGGGCGTCTCCGCCAACCCGGTCGAGCCGCTCGCCTTGTTTTTCCGGAACTGATTTCCTCTGCTTTCGGGAAGTCATTATGTGGGCGGGGGAAGAGGAAGGGCTGCCCCCCCCCCCCGAGATACGTGTGTGTGTGTGACACACGCGTGTGCGTGTGAATGAGCTCGCTCTGCGTGTGCGCGCGCTCCAGGCGCTGATGGGGAAGAGAAACCAGCGTTCTTTTCTGGCTCCCTGGAGCTGCTCCTCCTCCTCCCTCCTCTGGCTGGAGGAGCCCATCATGTGATAGCGATAAGGAATCACAGGGTTTCTTTCAATGGGGGCCTTCGGAGAGATAGTATTAGGCACGCACCGATGTGTGGATGGGCATGTTGCGGACACCCGAGGCCGCGTAATGCGTGGCAGCTCCTGCGGCGACACATTTCCTGGAGTAGACGTGCTAAGGCAGCCACATAGGCTTTAAACAGCAGCTCTTAATGCTTCTCTGGCAGCAGTCTCTTGCGATTTGGAGGAATATAGTTCAGGGCTGTATACGCACAATACATTTAACGCCCATGGCTTCCCTTAAAGAATCCTTTGGAACTGTAGTTTTCCTCTATGGGGCTACAAGTCCCAGCACCCTTAAACGGCAGTTCCCATGATTCTTTGGAAGAAGGCGTGTGCTTTAAATATATGTTGTGTACTCTGCCCAGGCAGTTGCTCCTGCTTTTTTCTGGCTTCCTGTTCCTGCCTTCTGCCTTACCCCTCACCAGTGGGCAGCAGCGACTGCTGCATGTCACTGGAAGATGCAGTACTGGGTGGAGAGATGAAAGGGATGAAGGGCTAAATGAAAATACCATTCTTGTGGTTAACCATGCCTATTGAATGCAATACCAGCTGTGCATCTCTCCCCCCCCCCCACCCGCCCCTCTGCTGTAGGAGACAAGTGGCAGGGTGGGGAGGTTTTTAGTGAGTAAAGGATGGATGGCAGAAAGTTAGCCAGTCCCTTCTCCTCTTGTTCCTCTGTTCAAACTTGCAGCATCCTGAAGCTGCTTTTGTTTTAATAAGACAAAATACACTGGAGTGGAGAATTTCCTCCGGAGGCTTCCTCATTTTATGAAGATGTGGTGAGAAGTTTTTGAAGCTGTGGCGTGAGTTCTTGCAGCTTTTGAATGCTTGCAGAAGGGTAGTGACAAGTTGCTTGAAAAACTGGTATGCATCAAACTGCCACTGTCAATGCAGTCTCCCTTCCTAATAAATAATACAGGGTGGTTTTTAAATCGTTTATGGATTGAAACTAAATCTCATTTGGGAACTATGAAGCCAAATGTTGGAAGATTCAGGACAGATAAAAGAAAATACTTATTCATTCTGTACATAGTCAAACTATGGAACTCTTTCCTATCAGTGGTCAGTGATGGCCACCAACATAAAGGTAAAGTGGTCCCTGACCATTAGGTCCAGTCGTGGCCGACTCTGGGGTTGCAGCACTCATCTCGCTTTATTGGCCGAGGGAGTTGACGTACAGCTTCCGGGTCATGTGGCCAGCATGACTAAGCCGCTTCTGGAGAACCAGAGCAGCGCACGGAAACGCCGTTTACCTTCCTGCCAGAGCGGTACCTTTTTATCTACTTGCACTTTGACGTGCTTTCGAACTGCTAGGTTGGCAGGAGCAGGCACCAAGCAATGGGAGCTCACCCCGTTGTGGGGATTCGAACCGCCAACCTTCTGATCGGCAAATCCTAGGCTTTGTAGTTTAACCCACAGCGCCACCCTCATCCCCTTGGCCACCAACATAGATGGCTTTAAAAGAGGATTTGACAAATTCACGGGGGAGGGGGCTATCAATGGCTCTTAGCCATGATGGCTGTGTTCTGCCTCCACAGTTTGTGGCGGCAGTGTTTCTGAATACCAGTTGTTGGAAACCACAGGAAGGGAGAGTGTCATTGTGCTTGAATTCTGCTTGCGGGTTTCCCAGAGACATCTGGCCAGCCACTGTGAGAGCATGATGCTGGACTAGATGGGCCTTTGGCCTGATCCAGCAGGCTCTTCTTGTGTTCTTAACTACTTAGCAAGTAACCTCACAGAATCAGTTGGAAGGGACCAGGAGGACCACTGAGTCCAGCCCCCTACAATGCAGGAATATTTCACCCAACGTAGGGGTCGACCCACAACCCTGAGATTAAGTCTCATGCTCTACTGACTGAGCTATCCTTGTTATCTCAAGAATGTAAAACAGATGAGGTATTGCTGACCGTGAGTCTATATCTTCAGTAGGGTCTGAAACAACAAATGTTATAATTCAGTTAAAGACACTTCTTTTTCTTAAAGAAGGACAAAAGAAGGATGAAAATTGCCTATGTAACACTCTTATGTCTTCCAAGGTATCTTGTGAATGATCTTAAAACTTGGATTGCATACATCTATAAAACATCCCAGGATCTGTCCAGTATGATGAACTGTTCTAAAATAAAACTGGGCTTGTTGTACTTTTGGATTGAACTGATGGTGTGAACATCTTTGAGAAAGCCTTTTAAGTGGCTGAGTTTACCAATCTATTATTTTTCTTAGACTGCAGTTATATGAAAGAAAGAGCCTAAATCTAGTACTGCAACTATTTAATTGCTTTTAAATTCTCTGGCTCCTTGGAAGTCATCTTTGAAAGTCCTATCAATTATGCTTTGAATCTAGTGGGGTGTGTATCTTACCATTGATGGTACCTTACGGGTGCAGAGAATTCTGGGATGTTGTGCTCTGACCATGGGGTTCCCAGTAAGAGAGGCATTAACCACTATGACCTTGTAGAGCATGGGTCGGCAAACTAAGGCCCGCAGGTTGGATCAGGCCCAATTGCCCTCTGGATCCGGCACGCGGACGGTCCTGGAATCACTGCTTGGATCGGCGTGATCGTTCGGGCTGCGCCATATTTATTTATTTATTGCAATTTTTTGGGTGCGCCATCCCCCCCCCACACACATACACTGCAGTGGCGCTGCCTCCCTTCCACCTCCCTCCTCCTGGCTTCTCCCTGCCCTGCAGAGGAAGGGAGCTGGGCTTTGAGCAGCCAGCCAATCCGAAGCCTTGCCGCCCGTGCGCTGGCCTCTCCATCCATGGCCGCTCTGTGATGGCAGCATTGTGGGGCTTCAGCTGGAGCTTGGCACGCCTGGCGTCCAGGAAAGCTGGCCCAGAAAGGAGAGGCACCGCCACCACTGCCGGCTCCCAACCGCAGGCAGAGCGGCAGAGGAGGTAGGAAAGCAGCGGGAGGGGAGGGGCTGGGGGAGAGAGAAAAGCCCCCCTCCATCGTGTGTGTGCGCATGCGTGCACGCAGTCCGGCCAATGACAAGGTCTGAGGGGTGGTGAACCGGCCCCCTCCTAAAAAAGGTTGCTGTCCCCTGTTGTAGAGGAATAACTGTCCCTACCCTCTATTCCGAATGTGTTTCTGTAGGATGCTCCACCCTACTGCTTAGGGTTGCTAATCGCTACTACTTTTGCAAAACAATCTCAAAAGTTGGGCAACAGAGTATCTTAATCTCCCACACCCGCGTAGATATACTCCAGCAAGTTTCTTTTCACAGGATAGTTAGGTGCACCACCCAGTCATGCTAGTAACCATAAATCTCAGTGCAAGACTGTGGGACACTTCAGGCACCTTAAAGTCAAATTGAAGAGGAAGTACCACCAGGTGTGTGAGAGAGGTGATGTTGCAGTAAAAGGAACTGAAAGAGGAGTTAAAAATAGAATTGAGCTCTACATCTTGAAAGTTGTCCCATTGGAAACCATTGGTATTGCCCTGAACATGGTCCTAAGCCTGGACTCCTGCTGGACTGGGCTGCCTTTCCACAGGGATGGATTTAGGGCAGTGCAACCAGTTCTGCTACACTGGACACCAAGCCTAGGGGGTGCCACAGGGCGTTGCAACTATGATGTAGTGAACTGAGAAGAATGGAAGGTACTGAATTTTGGCCTCACACAGGGAGTCGCTGAAATTTGAAAGACCACAGCCCACTTCTGCTCTCTGTACCTGGCTTGATGATTCCAGACTATTCCTGTTTGTCTCCTGATCTTCTTGGAATTCTTCCCAAGCTTGCTCTTCATTATCGTTACGTATTTGTACCTGCTTTTCAGCAACAAGTCCTCAAAGTGGTTTACGAATTACTGGTGGAGACCATTTTAGGCATGTCCAGTGGATGCCTGATTGCTGATGTGTGGGTCCTTTTGGATCTGGAAGAAGGCGGAATGGGGGCAGGCTGGAACAGGGCAGGGTTGGGCACGCACAAGGAGTGGGAATGGAACCCCTGCGCAAAATGGTGGTGGCCTATACAAGGTGGCTGACAGACGTGTTCTCAGTAAAATTGTTTATGATCTCAGCCAGGGTGGGTTTTTATGTATAGATCTTCTACCCTAGAGCAGATGATCACACTTCCATGCCCTATAATTCAGTGGCCCCTTTACACATTACAAGCAGTGTGGAGAGGTACTGTAGCTATCCTGCTTGCCTCAGGATCATGTAGTACATTGCTCTCATGTTTGAGCACTGATTGAGCACTGAAGCTTATGTGCACAAACCTCTACAGGAGCTTAAACCCTGCACTCTCAGCTCTCGCAGAAGCTAAGGCCCATAGATATCTACAAATATAGACTTTCCTCCGCATTGCATGGGAGAGTGCATACCTTTCATGCAAAAGATCCCAAATTAAGTCCCTAGCATCTCCACATAAAATCCTAGTTTGAAACCCTGGAAGACGCTCAGTGTAGACTGAGTTAGATGAACTAACAGTTTGATTCTTCGTAAGGCAGATTCCTGTGTCTCTACAGAAATAGCACCATTTCTGATCTACTATAGTCGTATCTTGGTTCACAAACGCTTTCCGAGTCAAACATTTTGCCTCCCAAACGCCAGAAACCTGGAAGTGAGTGTTCTGGTTTGTGAACATTCTTTGGAACCCGAGCATCCAGTGCGGCTTCTGAGGCTTCCAGTTGGCTGCAAGAGCTTCCTGCAACCAACCGGAAGCTGTGCCTTGGTTTCCGAACGTTTTGGAAGTCAAACAGACTTCCAGAATGGATTCCGCTCGACTTCTGAGGTACCACTGTACTTCCATGTGTTTTCAAGAGATTTGTGATTTGATGTACTCTCACGCCCTTTACAGCTAACGGGGAGTACATGTTTTTTGTGCCTGTGTATCAGTACCAGAATGCAACACAGCAATCTTTGCATGACCGTGTGGGCCACTTCGCACCTCCAGTCCTCCTGCTGCTGCACCGCCATGAGCTAAGCAGTGGTTTGGCTGAGTGTGTTGTCCAAATCCTAGACGTTCATGGTTTGTCTGCAGGAGACAAACCATAAGTTCAGGTTCAGACATCGCACTAAGCCAAACCATGGTTTAACTCATACCATCAGGAGGACCAGTTCAGGAGTGCAGCATCCATGATCTTCTCTGTGAAAACCTTCACTTGTGCACATTCATGCTAAGCCATGGTTTGGCTTACCATTACGTGCAAACCAGTTTTGTGCATGAGAAGCTGGTTTGGCAATTAACTGTGTCCTTATCGTGGAGCTGTTTATATGAGAAAGTAATTGCTATTTCATGCAACGTAGCAGAGAGTAGTTTCGAAGTAACTGTCTTTTATATACTTTCATACAACGTAGCAAAAAGCTATTTCAAAATAACAGTTTGTGTTAAAACACTGGGATATCTTTATGTTGAGAGAACATTTAAATGTTGGTCAGGACTCAGGAGGCTTTGTGAGAATTCCTGGTGTAACAATGGGAAAACGTGAGCAGAGGAAGTTCAGTCTTATTGTTATGATCTGCATTTATTTGTATGCTGCCTATGCTCTCATGACACAAAATCATAGAACTGTGAAAAAGTTACATAATTCACTAAGTTACAAAATATAACAAGTAGTTAAACAACAAGTTAATGAAAACATCTCATAAAATGTACTATGAAATTAATTCCCCTTATAATATGTTATAAGATCTAGCAATATTCCAATAACATTAAAAAAATAATAGCTCACCTCCAAAACGAATGTCCTGCTGTTCCTCCAAGGGACTTGGAAAACCATCCAAATGATTCTGTGAACATGGTCTACAATCCAAACAGCTTGCACTGTCATCTGCTTAGCTTCACATAAGTTTTAGCCCTGCAACATCTGGAGGGCCACAATTCCCCATCCCTGACCTGTGTCTTCAGGCTATTCTCTCTCAAACTGTTCCTGCATCTAGAGCTTTTGTGCATCTCTGCACAGCTCCTATTACAAGATGGAGGTGGTAGTGTAGTGAAATAGATGGTCCATGGGGTTCCTCTCGCTGCTTACTCTGGCTCTTTCTGTAATGTCTGAGGCTGCTCATAAAATGAAAGGCATTGTCACCTTCATTGCTGTGCTTTAACAAAAAGTAATCCATTGCTCTTCAGGGCTTTGAAGGCAACCTCACTCCTCGCAAAGCCCTTGGTCCTAGATACAGGTACCAGAACTTTTTGAGCTTTTTTAAGGGGATATCTCCCCTGAAAAAGCTTCTATTCTTACGCCGCCACTACCCACAGCCTCTATAATGCCATGCTGCCATGCCATCAGGCTGAAATGCTAAAGAGGTGCTAGCACTCACCAAAGAGGTGCCAGAACCCAGTTCCAGTAAGTTCCGGCTGAAAAAAGCCCTGCCTAGAATTATATGGGGGAAAGAACTATACTGCCATGTGATTTGGGGATGGAGGAGCTGGCTTATGGGTGAGTGTTTATTGAAATCACATTTCAACTCAGGAGTGTGAGAAGATGCCCATTATTCCTCCTCCACACAGAGCTGATTCACAGCCCCTATTTTTACTCTCTTTTTTTCCTTCATGGAGTTTAAAGGACAGAATATGCTTCCCACTTTTATTATTTTCACAACAATCCCATGAGATCAGCGAAGGATGGTTACTGCTCATAATTATCCAGCAAACTTCATGGCCAAACTTCCCCAGCTCAAGTTGATAATTTTATCCACTCGTAGGGAATTAACACAATAGTCTATAGAGTGTCTGTCTTGATTCATATAAGCTGCAAGCAAGTTTGTCTGGATGTGGAAACTGGCATTCTCTGTGTTGACATCCTTCCAAAGTCGCCTCTTTTCTTCTCTACTTCCCCTTATGTATCAGCATTACTGGCCTACAGTGTAGTTATAAACAGAGTTAGCCAGATGTCTTAATTGTGCTATAAACCTCTTCTTTACTGCACTTTTGGATTTCCTTCCTAGCCTTTCAAAATCTAACTCACTCTGCAGATCATTCAAAGGAAATAGGAGGTACCATAGGAAGGGTGATTAAAAAGGGTGATTAAAGTTTTACTTGAACATTTGAGTTTTTATGATGCATTTCCCTATTATGTGTAACGTCTTAAAAAAGATATTCTCCTTATATTTTCAGGTGGCATTATTGGTGAATCTTTTGTTTATGACCTAGTGTGCATCGTCCCAATCGGCCATGGCGTACAATGCAGGCATCGCTGGGGACCCTAACCAGTTAGCACAACGCATCACTTCCAATATCCAGAAAATCACACAATGCAGTAAGTTCCTTAAAGCTATTCCTATTTACAAATGTTCCTGTCCCTATATCTTTTATTTTTGTCATGACAGGTTTAGGAGCTTTGGGTGGAATCCAGTGTTTTCCAAGCAGACTTCTGTTTCTCCCTCTCTTCCTCCTAGCCTCTGCCCAGAGGACCACCCAATACTTCGGACCAGATTTTGGGTGGAGGGGCGGTAGCATGGAGGAGACAGAGAAAGTCTCATAGTACAAGCAGTCATCTGTTCCACTGGCAGATAGGCACAGTATATTGCCCTTTATTGACGAGATCCTTAACATCTCAAGGGTTTGTGCCAATATTAGTTTTATGTCAGTTTTTAAAATTCTGGACTTTGTTAGCAAAACCTTCAGCAGTTCTGCAACTATACTTCAATATCTGGTTTCAGGACCTAGTCATGAATTACACACCTTAACTATCTTATCTGAAGTCTGTTGTACATGTTCTGGGTGGTGAAGGATTGAATTCAGAATGGCCCAGTACTAGGAAAAGGCAGCACAGAATTGAATGGTGTGGAAAGGTGTGTCTAAAAACAATGTACCCAAATGGTCTTCAAAAATCCTCTGTAAATATTGCCTGCTATGAGAGTACTTTGGTCATAAGGCTATGTTTTGAAGAAAAACTGTTATTGCTGGTTTGCATAAATATGTTGGTAAGATTCCCCCCTCTGCCATATTAAACTGTTGTAGAAAAGAAGAAATTGGAAGAGAGTACTGTGGCACCTTAAAATACATCTTAATGTCACATAGATTTTCATGGACTGAAGTCCACTGGGCCAGATGAATGTGGAGGAAAATTCATCCCTTTGAGAATGGTGCTAGAGATCATGAGTGACGCACCATTTGCATGTACATATTGTACTTCTATTATTGTTGTTGTTGTTGTTGTTTGCTAAACAAGTTTAGTTTTGGGATGATCTTATCAATGCATACCAACTGATTATTCTTCAGCTGTGAGCAGGTGTCTTGAATCCTCATTAAATTCCATACTGTAATTATTGTTGTGACCTTGTTAAATATATGTGCAGCAAGCTCCAATGAAGCATGATGAAGAGGGCACTTTCTGGTTGCCGTGCCCTTGCTTCTCCTTTAAACGATTAGGAGCTGTATCTGCTGACTTATCTCTTCCTTCCTCCTCCCTTACTTTCATCAGGCATCCTTTGTACTGGGCCACTTATATTTACTCATACCGCTGTAAAAGATTCACAACGTCATAATCCTTGTGTGTCACAACACACAGCCTTCTGTAGAACTGTGTGTCGAGCCACACCTTCAGAAACAGTAGCTAGTAAAAGCCCTTCTATATGCGTTCAGATGTTCTTCCATCTGAAAATCCTTTCGATAAAAAGCTAGCATGCTGGGGAAAATGGTAGGCCTGAGGCTTTCTCCCTCACGTGCTAATTTTGGATAGGCAGAGTGTTATTGATGTGGGAAGCATTCAGTCTTCGCCACTAAGTCATGGTAAGAAATCTAATTCCAAAGAACAGTTTCAGACTCTTTCTGAATGTGTGGATTGCCTCCTTCCCTTTCTCATATGCCTTTTCCTCAGGGGTGGGGAACCATTATATTTATCAAGGGCTTAATTATTTATTTGATTGATTGATTGATTGATTGATTGATTTATATATTGCCCTTCATCATAAGATCTCAGGGCGGTTCACAGAATAAAATGCCAGATAAAAACATGAATGTAAGGAAAACAAAACAGCAAAACAATACCCCCCCTTATACTTATACTACTACTACTACTACTACTAATAATAATAATAAATTATTATTTATTATTTATACCCCGCCCCTCTGGCTGGGTTTCCCCAGCCACTCTGGGCAGCTCCCAACAGAATATTATAAATACAATAAAACATCAGTCATTAAAAACTTCCCCGAACAGGGCTGCCTTCAGATGTCTTCTAAAAGTCAGATAGTTGTTTATTTCCTTGACATCTGATGGGAGGGCGTTCCACAGGGTGGGTGCCACTACTGAGAAGGCCCTCTGCCCTTCTCACAGAGACATTTAAAAGGCTGTAGAATATTAATCAGCCCAAGGCCTGGTTCAAGGGCAACATTTTTGCCTCTTCTGTAATGAAGACGCCAGGCCAGTCTCTCAGGGGAAAGGCATTCCACAAACAGGGAGCCACTACAGAGAACATCCATTCTCAGGATCTCACATGGAGGAGGCACATGAAGAGAGGCCTCAGAGTTCAGGACGGTTTATATGGGGAGAGGCTATATTCTCTTGGGGGTAATGTGCTACTGGAGGGGGGGTTGTATTATGGTGGGTGGGATCACCTGCTTTTCTTTTCCTGGCTCTCATTCTGCCACGCCACCTTCTCAGTGCTGCTGGGGAAGAGACATGAAGACAGCTTGAGGGCAATAGGTTTCCCCCTCAGGCTTTGCTTAAATGACTGGTGGCTGCTGCTACATTTGTGTTCTCTCTGGCACATACAAGCTTCTTCTACCAGTTTGACTCATCTTGCTTTATGTGGCAATGCCCAGCCCCTTGGGAGGTTCCCCACTTGTGTGTGATGAAATGCTGAAAGGGAAGGGAAACCACATGGGAAAGAAAGACTCTTGTGCACTTATGGTTGGGCTGGCAGGGCAGATGCTGTAGAACTGGTAAAGATGAAAAAGAGAATTAAGCACTAAAAGAGCTAGGGGTGGGAGCATGATGCTGCTTGGAGCTGCTTCAGAACATTGGCAATTGATGAAATGTGCATATTACTTCATTATAAGAACTGAAACAGCCGGTTAGAGGGTGCCCCAAGTTTTAAACACTGAGATGCTTAATACTAAAATAAAATCTTGAAATGGGAGGAGGCTTCAGAGGGGAGATCCCTGAGTTGGAAATGAAAGGGAGTGAAGAGCTTGTCATCCATTTCTTTCTCTGCAAAATTGGTAGAAAGCATGGAAATTGCAAAGCTCGCAGTGGGAGTACTTCTCTCAATAATTTATCTTTGGGGTTGTCTCAGTTCATAGGTTCCTGTGCTGAACTAGAGACTGAATTGCCAAATAGTGCTTCTTCCTGATTTCCTGCCCCTTTTCCGCTTCAGGACTCTGGTATCGCCAAAGTCCTTGAATTGAAAGACGGTGAATGAATGACTGCTAGAAAGTGGGAGGCTCCTTAAACTCTGTCAACATCACAATCTCTTTAACCTTGGTAGCCTAATCTGTTAACTTCTGAAGCATTTTGGTTGGAGCTAAATTCACATTGGAATGCTGTGTGGGTCAAGGGAGGAGAAAATAAATTACTAGTACTAGGAATTTTAATCACTGCTCTAGCACCCAGACTAGATTATTACAAAGGTTTTACCTTAATGACTAAACAAGACAAACAAGTTCTAATGGTGTAACTTGTTTCTCTTTAATTGGACAATTGTTTTGTCAGGTGATACGTCAGGCCTATGCGATGTGTAAGGAGTTCATTATAATGCAAGTTTTATTTTCAGGTAGCGAATGCAAAGTTCTTGTGCTTTGGGCATATAATTCAGTTCTTATTTAATGCAGTTCTTATTGAATGCATTTTGTATCATTAACCAGAACTAGAACTGCTTAGCTTTTGCAAATAGGCTGCATGATGTGCTATGAGGCTAAACCCTGGAGTTTCTGGTTGTAATTTAGCATAATAGACGCTCCAAATTATGAGGTAAAGGCCGACACTTTTTCTTTGAACCTGCTATGTTGATTGCAAAACTGGGGCGGTTATCTTATTTAAGGTGACTTTTGTGCAGTGATTTGAAAGAATAATAAAGCACCTACATTTGACTGTAGTCAAAAACTTCCTGTATACCATTTTTCTCCTCCCATTCCACCTAATGTAGGTTGAATCGTACAATAGAGCAGTGTCCTTCAATCTCAGGTCCCCAGATGTTGTTGGATTGTGACTTCCATCATCCATAACTATTAGCTACTAAGGTGACTGGGGATGATGGGAGTTGTAGTCCAACAACAGTTGAATTTATTTATATACTGAATCTATTTATTGAATTTATGTCTTGCCCTTCCTGTAGAAGAAGCCCACTCCCAAAGAATGCTGCAATAAAGGGCAATTCCTTCTTTAGCTGATTCCCGTTCACTTCACTGAAGATTCTTCTCTGTGGAGCTTGATTAAATTGTAAAAATAAATCTGAATTATAGGACCATTTTCAGCCAGAAAATAATACATAAATCTGGTAGAACAGGAAAACCCTCTATGCAAGGAAGGGTTTGATAACTATCTCCTATGTCCTAGGTGACTGACAGACATATATGTGGGCAGCTGGGCTAGAGGGGGAAAATGTGGGTTAGTAACTCAGATAACTGATGGATATCTGCTTGTCTAGAGGGCACTTTTGCCTCCACCCGCCCCAAGTTGGCTTCAGCACTCTGTGCTAAACTGGTAGGAGGAAATACAGAAGGAAAGAAAAGAGAGCAGTTGGAATGGAGGAGGAACATGCTGAGAGAGGCTGTTGATGACTGCTCTCCATGGCTGAGATCAACAGGGACATAGTTGGGCCCTGTCAGAGAAAAAACATGTGCTTGCTGTTTAGAAGAAGTCTATGGTTTCAAATTGAAACTAGAAGGCACAGCCCCACTTTTGCAAGCTGTTGACATTTAGCGGAGGAGAAAGAGAAGGTCCAGAACCTGTTTGTACTAACATATATATTTATTTTTAATGAAATGAGGTCAAGAGAAAGGAAAATGCAAAACAAGTGCATTGGTAAGCCCTGCCACATGTGTGTAGTCATAAAGGCCTGCTCTTTATAGAGCACCGCTGAAAAACTTTAGCAACTTGTTGCACAATGCATCCTGCAGAGGGCAGTATTGGGTAACTTTTCTAAGCTAAACTTTGCAAGAATCCTAGGTGCTAAAATTCAAGCATAAAGAAAACGATAAGATGTAAGAACATGATAGCTCATTGGCTTTAAAATGATCTTTCCAATTAAACTTCGGTTGTCTAAAGTCTTAATTAACTTGGTCTGCCCTAACTAATTTTTAAGTTATGTTGTTGCTGTTTGATCAATTTAGGACATGAACAAAGAGAGTATTGTAGCTATGAAAATATCGTAGAATTGTAGAGTTGGAAGGGACCCTGAGGATCATCTAGTCCAACCCCCTGCAATGCAGGAATATGCAGCTGTCCCAAACGGGGATGGAACCTGCAACCTTGGCATTATCAGCACCGTGCTCTAACCAACTGAGCTATCCAGGCTGATCAGATGGAATCTCTTCCTTTTGGATTTACCTAGTATTTGATTATGAAAATGACTTGGTATTCCGTTTCAGTCCATGAACTTGGTGTTTTGCGTTAACATGGTAGCGACCCTCTAGCATAGATGTGCAAGGGGTTACATAGGCAAGAGTTGATAGGATCATCTGCTCTATGTGGCATTCAGGGCACTCACTCTGCATCCTGTGTGCTAAATGCAAGGGGTTCCCTGTAAGCCTTTAGCGCCTACAATATACAGTGGTACCTCTGGTTAAGTACTTAATTCATTCCAGAGCCGTTCTTAACCTGAAACTGTTCTTAACCTGAAGCACCACTTTAGCTAATGGGGCTCCTGCTGCTGCCGTGCTGCCGGAGCATGATTTCTGTTCTCATCCTGAAGCAAAGTTCTTAATCTGAAGCACTATTTCTGGGTTAGCGGAGTCTGTAACCTGAAGCGTATGTAACCTGAGGTACCACTGTAGAAGATCCACAGCGACAAACACTTTCCTGTTAGTGAATTAGGATGCTTATGTCAGTTCAAGATGGCCAGCAGGTGGCATTTATTCGTAACATGTGCAGGTGAGCTGTATCCCTATTCTAACCACATTTCTTTGTAACTAGGATTCATTCTGCACATCTCAAAGGGCTTTGCACTTGTGCCTTGTGGAACAGTAAATGGCTCCTAAAAGTCAGCGACTTTATGAATGGATATCATGGCCACTGAGTGCGTGATTTCCTCAGCCTGACTTCCAACTTGCTGTACTAATAATGGCTGAGACATGGGAAATGTAGGTTCAAATCCTGCTCAACTGTTCGTATGCTGTATGGTTGAATGAGGGTAGTAAGATAGTACTGTTCTCAACTTTGGCTCCACATACTGAATGAGTGTGTGGCTCACAACCCATGGGCTCCACCCCTGACACCTGTATGTCTGGAACATAGGGGGTTGCTTTGTCGAAAGTCAGACCATTTGTCCATCTAGTCATATTGTTGATATGACTGGCAATGACTCTCCAGGGTTTTAGGAAGAGGACTGGAAAGACTTGGGGTTTTTTGGGGGGGGAATCCAAAGGGCACCCAGGATATTACAGGGCCCACTAGCTTATCTTCCCCTCTGAGTGAATTGATTTGAAGCATTCTTTCAAAGATAACATTTATCAAGCATATAGGTGGACAAGAATTAACATAGTATCTGCAGAGGCAACTTCTGTCTCAGTAGCCTCTAGGAGCTATTTGCCTCCACAAGCAAGTAGATGGGGATGATCAGGTAGTCACTAGTTAATATTGATAAGCTTAGAAATCGCAGGCTAAGAGGAGAAATAACCTTATGAATCAGTAACTAGCTAAAGAACAGCCAGCAGAGAGTAGGAATAAGCAAATGTAAGAAGTGGGCTGCTTCCAAGGATTTATATTGGTTGCCAGGGCTTTTAATTCATTGGTAAATAATCTGAAATTAGGGGTGAGCAGCGAGGTAACCAAGTTTACTGATGACACCAATTTATTTAAGGTGGTAAAATAAAATAAAACAGTGATATTGAAGAGCTCCAAAGAAAGATCTCTCCAAATTGGGGAATCAACATTAAAATGGCAAATGCAGCAAGTATAAAGAGATGTGCATTGGGGCAAAAATAATAATAATCTCAACTTCAAATATATGCTGATGGAGTCTGAGCTGGTGGTTACTGACCAAGAAAGGGATCAGGAAAGGGATTGTGATTGTGGAGGATGGTTCAGTGAAGAAGGTGAATTCCGTTTGGGGAAATCATTAGGAAGGGAATTGAAAATGAAGCAGCCAATATAATATTGCTTTTTATGCACATGATGCAGCTACACTTGAAATAGTTTTGGTCACCACACCTAAAGGATATTGTAGAGCTGGAAAAGCTGCAGAAAAGGGCAAGCAAAATGACCAAGGGGTGTAGTTAAATTATGGAATTCACTGCTACAAGATGTGAAGATGATTCCCAACTTGAATGACTTTTAAAAAGGGATTAGACAAATTCACGTGGGATTTTATCAATGCATGTAGTCATGGTGACAATATATTAACTCCAATGGGATGCGGGTGGTGCTGTGGTCTAAACCACTGAGCCTCTTGGGCTTGCTGATCAGAAGGTTGGTGATTTGCATCCCCACGACGGGGTGAGCTTCTGTTGCTCTGTCCCAGCTCCTGCCAACCTAGCTGTATGAAAGCATACCAGTGCAAGTAGATAAATGGTACCACTGCGGCGGAAATGTAAATGGTGTTTCAGTGCGCTCTGGTTTCCATCATGGTGTTCCGTTCCGCCAGAAGTGGTTTAGCCATGCTGGCCACATGACCTGGTAAGCTGTCTGTGGACAAACACTGGCTCTCTCGGCCTGAAAGTAAGATGAGCACTGCAACCCCTTAGTCGCCTTTGACTGGACTTAACTGTCCAGGGGTCCTTTACCTTTACCTATATGACCTCCAGTATTGAATGCAATATGCTTCTGAATACAAGTTGCTGGAAATCACACATTGAGAGAGTTCTCTTGCACATATATCCTGCTTTTAGGGTTCCCATAGGCATTTTGTTGTGGAAGAGCATGTTGGACTAGACAGGACGGACAAAAGGTGCGTTGGGGCTCTTGAAATGTTTTAAGTTTAAAAACATGATTTGAAAGGCTTTCGTTTTCAGCAGTTCAGCTGTAACATGATCTTTTTTGTGTACGTGTATGTATAGCTTTGCTTTTGAAAACTTCGCTGAATTTGACCTACCACAGCTCTGTCAACTGGTATATGTTTCTGAATTGTCAATTAGAGATGCATGAAATTGTGGTGGAAATGTATCATTTACAAAAACCCTCTTCCTCTTTTTGCAAACAGCTGCAGAAATACAAAGAGTACTGAATCAACTTGGAACGCCACAAGACACGCATGAATTGCGGCAACAGCTGTAAGCGCTTCATGAGATGACCTTCATTTAACTGCATTGTAGATAGCCTCTCAATATGTGTTCCTGTCTTACCCAAGTGCTCTGCGTCTTTGAAACATTTGAGAACAGAAAAGGAGTGTGGGGATAAACCAACATCTTATCTGTATGTTGACTTGTTAATCCTCCAAGTTGCATTGTTGGCACTATTAAGCACCCAGATGGTGTTGGAAGCAAGAATGTACAGAGCCAACAAAGCCCACTGAGGTTCTTTTAAAAGTTCAAACCACTTTCATGTTTGCTACTTCCGGCATTTTGGAAATAACTCTTAGGCTTTTGACAACGGTTTCAGCAAGTTAGGTTTTGTTAAGTGATGCAAAAGTACAGTATAGTATAGCATGAAATCAAAAGAAGGAATGTATTCCAAAATAACTGCGAAGGAGAGAGAGAAAGAAAGAAAGAAAGAAAGAAAGAAAGAAAGAAAGAAAGAAAGAAAGAAATTAGGAATGCATTGTTTCTACAGTGTGATGTTGGCAAGTGTCACTCATGCACCAGAAGGTTATGTAGATTATCAAATGTAATATTTAGATTAGCCTGAAGCCATATGATTATAGATGTATACAGTCCTGTGCCTACAGGTTTTTATTGGTGGTTTCTACAGATCTTAGTTGTTAATATCGTTTGTGCCCCTGCTCATTAGTGAGAAAATTGCTGCAAATAATAATAGAATCTCCTGAAAGAGGGGTGTTGGGCATATACATGGACACTAAAAGAGCTAGCTTTGCAGTTAATATCACTGGGCACGCTACCTTACGCCTACCAACTTCCACTTGGGCCTGATTGCCAGTACTTTGTCCAGATTTAACTGGTAGATCAGGGTGCCTTGTGTTTTTTAAAACAAGAAGAGTTTACTGCAACTTGTTCTCTAGCTGGCCTTTTTCTTCAATCGACACAGGAGCTGTTGATTAAGGAATGCTTACAGTAATCAAGTACATCATGTTGCTACTCAAATCATGGTTCTACATTAGAATATGTTCTTTTCCTTAGAATTAACTTGTGATCATAATTCCGGGGGGGGGGGGGAGAATTTTACTCTTATCCTTTTCCAAAAAAGAATATGTAAGCCTCCCCCTGAACATGGTGTTAGTCATAATTTAAAATGTTTTCTCTCTTTCCCCTTCCCATATTAACTATTTACATTTTAAAATACCGAATCTACTTTTCATGGCCCATCTATCAACCTGTCAGACAATGCAATCTTTATCATTTAAGTACTCATTTAAAAAAAAGAAAAAAGATTTAAAGCAAAGTTTGGTCCACTACTTCTCAATTCTTCATTCTTGGTTTCTACAGAAGTGGAACCAGCAGTTATTTTGCAAATATTAAATAATATATGTGCCTTTCCTGAAGGTTTATTTCTAAAGATATTCAGCAATGGAGTAAAAACGTTGGTTAAGTAATCCAGTCACTCAGCTATAACTTTCTATTTTAGGCAGCAGAAGCAGCAGTATACAAACCAACTTGCCAAAGAGACAGACAAATACATTAAGGAGTTTGGATCTCTGCCTTCAATAAGCGAGCAGGTATCAAAATGTTTTTTTATTTTTTTAAAAGAACCCCTAAAACTGCCTTTTTCATTTCTGCCATGTGTGTTTGAAAACATTTTACTCCTGAGGCATATCAAGCAAAATACATTAATGGATCTTGGTTTGTAGTATAATTAAGAGGCCAAGTATTTTTTGAACTACTAGGATTATAGGATTTACTTTGGTACAGGCACTTGGATTATGATCATTTTAATCATTTTGACTGCAATCCTGTGCACAGTTAGGCTGCTTAAATCCTATTGACTTTACTGGGGTTTAAGCAGTCTAAATATGTGCAGAACTTGGACATTTTTGTCTTAACTGTGAGTGTGCTTGTATGGTATTATATGGGGAAATGAAATTAACATTCATTTCAGGGCAATTGTCTTTCATTCTTATGAACAGCCATTCTGACAAATAGCTTATTATTTTCTCATTATTCCATCAAAAAGAGTACAGGTCTGCCTGTGTTTGGCTTTGAGGAAGGAATAAAAGCAGAGGAAATCCAGCACTACTTCATTGGTGGGGAACCTGTAGCCCTCCAGATATTGTTGGAATACCACGGACATTATCCCTGAATGTTGGCCATGCTGGCTGAGGCTGTTGGGAATTGGAGTCCAACAATATCCAGAGAGCTGCAGGTTCCCACTTGCTCAAAATATGTGCAATTATATAGCGTTCTCCTTCAGCTTCTTCTATATCGTGTTAAAAATTGAGGCGTCGTCATGTTAACTCCGGGGGAAATTATTTTGCCAGTCATCTCACCATTGTCATACTGGTGGCATTTTTATGTTACAGGACACACAGCACAAAATTTCTCTCATAGAGTAGTGCTTAGGTGGGGCACCGCTGGTTTAAATGACTGCCTCTCTTGCCTCTTTGTCAGAAGCTAGAACCCAGCATGGACTAGGGGATAGCTATGGGGTGCCAATTTTGAACTGTTGCTTAGCGATGAAGCCCTTTACACTATCGTTAATGCATATTAATTGCAGATCTTTACTGTGGGTCCCATTCGGGGAAGGGGTGTACATGTGATCCTGCTATGGCATGGCGCTACTTACAATTGCTGTACTTGTCCACCTATCTGTGCAAGTGCTGGACTTTCACTGCGATCCATTCCAAAGCCTTGATGTGCAAGGCTTTGGCGTCATAAAAAGCACCATTCAGTGGCCAGAGGCTTTGCAATAATAAAATGCCCTTCCACAACTTAGATAAATGTGTGTTCATCACACTGTATAGTTGAAAAGAGAGCGGGGATGCATTGATGTATAGAATACTTTTGTCCATATTGCCCCTGACCTTACTTGTCTGCCTTAATGAAATGTGCAGTCATATATGCTGCTTCTGTTCAGCAGCTTGTAGAAGACTCCTGCACTGAATAATAAACAAGATGACCAACTCTGGGCCAGTTAAATAACAACTGTACATTAAATTTATCTCATTTTATCACGTATGTAATATATATTACATTTTGCCCCTTAGCGTCAGAGAAAAATACAGAAGGACCGACTTGTCAATGAGTTCACTACAGCACTGACGAATTTCCAGAGGGTCCAAAGACAAGCTGCTGAGAAAGAGAGAGAATTTGTAGCCAGAGTGCGAGCCAGCTCTAGGGTATCAGTAAGTATATAGCAATGTATGTGTGATGTTTCCATTTACAGTTGTACCTTGGAAGCCGAACACCTTGGCTCCTGAACAAATCGGCTCCTGAACGATCAAAACCCGGAAGTTAGTGTTCTGGTTTTTGAACAATTTTCAGAAGCCAAACGTCCGGTGCAGCTTCCGCAGCTTCTGATTGGCTGCAAGATGCTCCTGCAGCCAATCAGAAGCCACACTTGGGTTTTTGAACGGTTCTGGGAGTCGAACGGACTCCCGGAACACATTCTGTTCAAAAACCAAGGTACCTCTGTTTAAATCTGTTTCAGTGTTTTAACTTTTGCATGTTTTAAAGTAGGTTTGTAAATCTTTATTGGTTACACTGTTTTACCTTTTATAAACCGCTTTGAGGGTTTTCTTTACAATCACGTGGTACATAAATTTTAAAAAAAACAAAATAAACAAATTACATAGAATAATGGAGGAATCAGGGTAGAATTCATCATTTATCTACTCTAATACTACTTTAGCAGTTATCTCCATATTAGGATGCATAGTGAAATGTGTGTTTCACATGCAATCAGTTGCTAAGCTCCATTTGTGAATGAATGACAAGCTCTTGAATTTCACCTGCAACAAAAAGTTGTGGCTTTTTAAATTGTTATTATTAAAGCACCAGATAATCTCCTAGGGCTGCAAGCAAGGGTGGAGCTTTTTGGTCGGGGTGGAATAGAACACGGGAAGCTTTCATGTGGTCAGAGTTGGGTTTGAATACAATAGCATGCAGGACCCAGAAGACCCTGTCAGCATGCCTGATTTTGTCAGCATGTGGCTTTGCGGGCAATTGCCTGGGGAACATGGTGTGGTTTCTCATGTTTGTTGATCTGAAGCTGAGTGATATTTACGTGAGTAGGAATTACCATGTGATACTCCATATAATTGCAAACAGGTCTCAGCTAGTAGCATCTACGGCAGTAGAAACTAGCATAAAGGTGAAATAAGCTTTTGCAAGAATTGACACCCGAGGCTGGATCTAGAAGCGTTTCAGTTTAAAGCATTGTAAGTTTAAACAGGGAAAACAGGTAGAGAAAAACGGGACTTCACGTTGCCATCTGGTGGCACAGTGTTAGATCACACATACAACACATATAAATCACTTTTTCTTTACCTGTCTAGCTGAGTCCTAAGATCAGTGCTTTTTTCGGGGGGGGGGGGGACAGACGCAGGGGTGTGCATACCCCTAAACATTTTGTGAATCTAAGTTTGGCCTTATTGAGGGGCAGCATTTCAATATGAGTAGGAAAATGAGAGTACCCCTAAACATTATTTTTTAAAGAAAAAAAAGCACTGCCTAAGAGAATATAAATTCATCCATCTTATTCTATCATGGCTGCTCTACTTTGTGCATTAAATATTCCATAACTGTTGGGTATGGTAGGTATGCAGATCTAGCAGGGCCCAGACTACCCTAATGTGAGCAAGAAGTTAAGGTGGTTGTAAGAAGTGTTATGACACTGAAGTGGTCTTGCTTCTTTTCTGTTTTTACTTATTTTTTTTTTGTGGGGAGAGACGTTGACTTGGATCCTAAGATGAGCTAAGTTAAAGAAGTTCACAGAAGGACGTCATTTTTTCCCCTAGTGTAGAAACTTACACCTGCAATTGCATTACTTTTCCCCCTTCAGGGAGTGCTAAGGATATAACACAAATTAAATTGGGCTGATCCAACTTTTCCTTTTTCCTTATACCTTCTTTTTTGTGGATGTGTCATATTGAAGCAGATGTAATTCCATGCCTCAGAATAAGTTGTTTTTCCATCTCTTAACTTTGCAGGGTGGTGCCCCAGAGGAAAGCTACAAAGAAGGAACACTTGTGTCCTGGGACAGGTAGGAAGTGCTGTAAAACCTGACATTGTTTCATTTATTGAATTAAGTAAACTAAGTAAAAAAACTTTGCGCACACATAATATTGCTATAAATTCTAAAATCACTTACAAGTAGGCAATAAAACCTGTTGAAGTTTTTTTTTATGAGGTGTCATAAATGTGGTGCTTTCATTGCCAAAGTGAGATGTGATCTTAATCCTGCATTGTTCTGTTAGAAAAACTTAACAGTTTTTATATGTATTTTCTCTTAAGAGCTTCCATTAATGACTTTCACTCGGTGGGTACTGTGTGTGGTATTCAAATAGGTCCCAAAATTTGGTTGCCAGTGGCAGCTAGCAATCAACGTTCCTGTGTAAAGTATATTAATTAATAATCTGCTTGGATATCCTGTGTGCTTTAACTTATAGCCAGCCTCAGACCCAAATACTAGAAGAAGAAATCACAGAAGATGACCTTCGTCTTATTGAGGAGAGAGAGTCTGCCATCAGGCAGCTTGAGGTGAGCAGAGGGCAAAGTTTAGAAATGCACTCAGATCAAGAGCGGAATTTTCTTTCCTTAATTTGACAGTCTATTTTTAAAAAAAACTTCTCTTGTGGTATTGGTTCTCCCTACCCCAGTATTTGTTGCCCTTAAGTCTTGTGCTTCCATGTCATTGATTGAATGTCAGTTTCTAAAACCAAAGAAAAGGTCTTATCCTGCAACACCTAGTGAACCATGCTCACCAAAGTACATCTATATTTCAGAATTTTAATTCCTAAACCATAAATGGAGTGAAACAGTGTCTAAGTAAAGATAACGAATTTTTTTGCTCAATGGCACAGTCTAGGTCCACTTGATCCTATTGATTTCACTGGAGGAATTACACCTCTGATTTATCTAGCTAAAACAGGGAGACTAGATTGTACCTTTAAAAAGACATGGGTTGCACAGAGTTGAACACTTTGGTGTCTCGTTAACACAAAGATATCTGGACTGGAACTGATTGTGGTTATACCCTAATTAATTAGCTAAAACATTCCATATGCAAACACATGACATCCAATTTGTTTTCCAGATATGTTAAAGGTAGCATGGTGAATTTGTGTGTGCTGCTTGCTGTTTTGTGGTTTCGTAGTCCAACCATCTCTTTCCCCCGACCATTTGTCCTGTCACTTTTTCCATTTTTTTCTACACGCTGCTGGGAGTGAATTTCTGCAGTTGTGCTAAGTGTTATTGGAGATGTATAAACATGAACATCTTCTGTGTTTACAGGCAGACATTTTGGATATTAATGAAATATTTAAAGATCTGGGGATGATGATTCATGAACAAGGAGATGTGATAGGTAAGCATAACATTTGGGCACAGTAGCTGGATTCAGTTGGCGTCTAGAAATCTCCCAGTAATTTGATAAAAGCTAGAGTTAGCTGTTTCCCAATCATCTGGTTAGGCAAAATTTGGCTTGTGAAGAATCTAAATATGCCCATGCGCCTTCTGGATTTTATTAACTGACGTGTAGCTGCCTTATATTTCAGGCTAAAAGAGATACAATATGAAATGTGCTCAAGGGGCTGTTCTGTTTTGTTGTGGGGAAAGTGTACTTCAGCTTGGTTTCTTGTATTACAACTTACATGGTTCTTGACAGCTTTTCAGATTTCAAAGGAGCTGTGCCCTCCTAGGATTAAATTCAGAGCATGTTCAGAATGAAGAGTTGACAGAAAAAGCATTATGCATAAGAAAAATCTATGTTTTAAGTATACATTTTATAGACCTATACATTAAGCTCAGGAAGGAGCTGGACTTTTAAACAGATTTTGTTTAAAAAAAGAAAAACTGTGCCTGCATACAGAGTGGGTGAGCAATGCCACCACAGTGGCCTTAGTTGCAGTCATTTTTGTCCAGGATGCAGTCTGTTTCCACAAGTTGGTTATGATCATACCTTGGGGAAATAGCTTACGTTTTCCTTCTCTGCATGTGTAACCGAAGCCTATTAGTTGGGGTGAAAAATCCTAAGCACATTTAGTAGGAGTGGAATCACACCTTAAAAAAAAAAGTAGGAGGACAGTGGAGGGCTGCCATTAAAAATGATGATCCTGTATTGAGTCCCACCCCCTGCCACTACTTAAAGTTACCCACTGTATGTGTAGTTCAACTTGTCTCATGTCCCAGTATCAGTACAATATGTATGTCCCTGCCAATGGCTCATCTTTGACTACTGCCAGCAGGAGCAAATAATGCACATTGTAATGATCTCAGGTGGAGGCTCAGGCAATTCCGTACTCCCGTGTTGGAAGCAAGTGCAAGGTTGCAGGGGTGCGATGTCAATGGGTTGGTATTGTCGGGAGGGTGTATGTGTTAAGCTGAATGAGCCACCATCCGCCCCGTGTCCTTTTTTACCTGTAGTTTTTTCCTGGTTTGTTTCAGCTGAACGTTCTTGCAAATAAGTGTGCTTAGGATTGCCCCCTCTTTCCTGTGTCATAGTCAAGTAACAGGACTAAAGATGTAAGGTTCCAGAGCAATCTCTGTTACTGAGAATTTCACTCTGCCTTCAGATTAAAGTCTCTGTGTTTTATTTTTCTCCTCAAAGACAGCATAGAAGCCAATGTAGAAACAGCTGAAGTCCATGTCCAGCAAGCAAATCAGCAGTTGTCCCGAGCAGCAGACTACCAGGTAAATATGAGCAGAAGCAACTAGATTATGTTGGGAATTTTCCATCCTTTGATTAAAAAATTGAAGCTTAATTCTCAGACTTACTAAGAGGCTAGCAATGTGAGGTACAGGTGACTCACTCTCCTCTAGGCCATATTTTTAATGATCGTTTTTAATGCTCTGCTTTTCCAACAAAAAATCAGAGCAGTTTACAATCGTATTAAAAAAAACACATACTAAACATTCCATTTGTAATAAGGGAGGCAGGATGAGTTAAAGCACAAATATACACCACTCAAAATCATGCATGGACAGGAATATCTTTGTACGGTTCCTGAATGCTGACCTAGAAGGCAACAAGCAGACCTCTTGGTTCCACAGGATGGGTTGCGGATGTGTGGTGCTGAAACAGAAAAGGACCCATCTTTCAACCTCCAAGGCACATTGCTCCATCGTCTTCAAAGACAGATGGGTGCCGGCAACAATTTAATCACCAGCTGCCTTATCTGAAAAAAGTGGAGGGATCCAGAGAAGGACTTCCAGTGCAGATATGACGAGGGAATTATATGAGAAGGTGGTCCTTCAGATGCTTTGAGGCATGGCCATCTTGGGTTTTAAATCAAAACCATCACTTTGAATTACACTCACACACCAGAAGCCTTGCCGGCTCCTTTTGGACAGGCAGAAAGCCTTTGAAGGCAGCTCCATGTAGAGTGCACTACATTAAACCATGCCATGACCAGAAGATGGATAACTGTAGCAAGCAGTTTGTTGCAACTTTTCATGGATAGCTAAGTTGGGGAAATGCAGTTTGATCCACAGGTGCCACTTGGGCCTTCGAGGATAAGGCCCAATCTAAAAGCAGTCTCAAGCAGCAAGCCTGATAATGTAGTACAGTATTGGGGAACATTTCTCAGGCTGAGGACTGCATTCCATCATGGTCAAAGTTCAGGGGATGCAGCAAAAGCAAAAAGTGGGTGGGAATAGAGACCAAAGTGGCTAGAGCAACAAATGCGACTTTTACCTTTGTACATTCCATCATGGTTAAAGTTCAGGGGATGCAGCAAAAGCAAAAAGTGGGTGGGAACAGAGACCAAAGTGGCTAGAGCAACAAATGCGACTTTTACCTTTGTACAGTAAGAGTCGTGTGTTGCAATCGTAAGAAGGTCAAGAGATCTCTACACACACAAAACCATCCTCTCTCCAGGCAAGCAAGAACTATGATCCCAGTTCAAGGATACATTTCAGCCATGCAAAAGCCCTTAAGGAAGGGGAAGCCCAGGACTGCTGACCTGAGGACAGCCCTGAGGCACAGATTGAAAACATTTATTAACCGTAATGACCATGAACCTATTTAATACACTGCACTGAAATGGAAAGCAAGTGGCTTTGAAGAGGTGTGCTCTCATTTTTATTAGACAGACTGTCCCATCACATGTATAGTATTTATAAAAACTAACTTTAGCACAGTTGTGAATGTTACACTCATCAAACCTACTTAGTTCTGATTCCCCAGTAGTAAGATTATTCTTTTTATGAGCAGAATAAGTCATGTGTAATCTAAAAAGTTGTTGAGAGATTTAAGTACCACAAATTTTAATAAGTTTCCCTATGAGTTGGGGTATTTCAGGTTTTAAAAGCAAACTATTCAGTGCCTATAACTTAGTCTTTTCTGTAAATCTAAACAGTGACTAAGGCTGCAATTCTAACCCAATTTGCCTAACAGTAAATTGCATTGAATTCTGTAGGACTTATTTCTGAGTAGACACGGTTAGGATTGCATGGTTGCTATCTCGAAATCGCCAGAGACCTCTAACTTGCAAGTTCTCAATTTGCACTCTGTCTCTCAACGAAACATGTGAACTATCTCAGTTTTGGGTTCTGTAGAGTTTTGTTAATGTTGAGTTTTCTATGTGGAGGGAATTTGCTTCAAATGGAAGAGCAATATTCAAACCATGGGTATCCCCACCTGAAGTCTGAAAGGTTTAAACACAATTTTCCATGCCACTGGTGAGAACTGGATGGTAGATCATCTGACGATGGAACACTTTGAACCGTTCAGTTCAGGAATTTCTATGCTGACAATCTCCTCTTTTGCTTCTCCACAGCGCAAGTCCCGCAAGAAATTGTGTATCCTCATTCTTGTGCTTGTTGCAGGAGCAACTATCCTTGGCCTCATCATCTGGGGAGCAACAAAATCATGATGTGCTAAATTACGTAGTAGAGTTTCCAGTCATGTCTCATTGTGAAGCTGTTCAGTAAATGATGTGCCCATCTTTATCACTTCTGCTTTGTCACAAGATGCATTTTTAATCCATGAGTGCTTCCCCCTCAGCTTGTGTAGTACGATTAATTTGAATTCATCGCGGCAATGTAACTTGCCAATACTCGATCAAGGTATAGGCAACTTCTTATATGGTGCTTACTACTCTTCTCTTTACCTCCAGGTGTGGATCTGTTGATCAAGTAGGCCAGGCTTTCTCTCTCTCTCTCTCTCTCTCTCTCTCTCTCTCTCTCTCTCTCACACACACACACACACACACACAGAGAGAGAGAGAGAGAGAGAGTTGTCTTGCAAGGTCATTCAGCTGAACCCTTTAGAGGCATCATAGAGGGGCTTGTGAGCAGGATGCAAATTGTCAAACACACTGTTTGATATGTCAGTTTAACCCCCAACTTTATAGGGCCAAGTTAATTTATTGCAACAATTAATTCATCAATCACTTTCAATGACTGTTACTATTAATCTGTATCTCTGGACTAAGTGAAACATTTCTCATTTCTGAGATCTCTCTCTCTCTCTCTCTCTCTCTCTCTCTCTCTCACACACACACACACACACACACACACACACAAACATGGTCCCAAGGATTTCTTTCCATAAACTAGTGGAAATCTCTGTCCACTGACTGACTCTCTGCACAGTTCAAATCTAATAACTGGGTTACTGGAGGTTGGAGCCTTGCTTCTGTTGTTATCTTTCTGACTTAATCTTTCTGAAACTTTTTTGGATTAAATGTGCAGTTTCTGTTTTACAAAAGAACGGTATCTTTCTCTTCATATTTTGATATTAAAAACCTGATACTGGGTATCAGCAAACTTGGCAAAGGCTAATCTAGCAAAAAGGGTTTGATAATGATAGGCTGTGTGTTTGTACTTATCTTTAAAAGATAAGTCTTTGGAATACATTTAAAAATTAGCTAAGATTTGCACCTTAATTTATGTACTTGTTAGGTATTTGAAGTTTAAAGTATACGGGCGAAATTAATATGTATAGTGGCTTAGCTTCAAACTTGGCTCTCTGATTTGAATCTCCAATAATGTACACATTCCTAACTAGAAAACTGTTTTTAGTTGGTTTGTGACTCAAGGCAACACAGCTGGATTGGGGCAGTGGGGGATTCACAATCATGGATTTGTATACTTGTGAACATCTGGACAAGATCCCCCACAGGACCAAAGCAGCTGAGAAGAAGGAAGCCATTTGGATTGGGAATACAGCATGGGGACAGGATCAACCATGTCCCATTTCATGGCCCCAATCTGAAGGGAAAAGGGTTTGCCTCTGCATTTACCCTTTAAAAACAACATCAGGTGATCTGGTGATGGATAACCTCACTATCTTTACTACTTTGGTCTTCATATTCCTCTATATGATGGTGACTAGTGAAAATTCTGAGTTGTGTACTGCTTGAATTCAAGGCTCTCAGGCCAACATAAACATCAAACCTGGTGTTTCTGTTTTTAACAAAGTGATTGATCCCTCATTGTATTAGTAAGTACTAGGAGTCCAGAACAGAGTTTGGAAAGTTTTGACTTCCAGATGATTAAGCGGAATTTAATTCTCTCAAGTCCTGAGGTTTTTTTTATTAAAAAAACAACAACTTGATTATTATTATTTTTGGTTCCATTTTGTAGTAACATATATTGGAAAAGTTATTCATTGTTATCTGCGAACTAATCAGGTTATTTTTTAATATATTATTGAAGTAATTAAAATGTATTGCACAAATATTATCTCTAGCTTATACATCTTTTGTATGCAGTTTGATAGAGAAGCAATGTTTACATGAGAAGCTCTGAGACTTGTGATTTGGGGAAAACTGAAAGTATCTACAATCTAAATTTGGATTGCACCATCTAAATAAAGGCAATTTTGAAAGTGAATGCTTTGCAGGTTGTCCTTTGCCATTTAGGTAAAGGTAAAAGGTAAAGGACCCCTGGATGGTTAAGTCCAATCAGAGGCAACTATGGGGTGTGGTGCTTATCTCGCTTTCAGGCTGAGGGAGCTGGTGTTTGTCCCCAGACAGTTTTCTGGGTCATGTGTCCAGCATGATTAAACCACCTCTGGCGCACAGAGGACCATGACAAGTGCTAGAGCGCACGGAAATGCCATTTACCTTCCCGCCACAGCAGTACCTATTTATCTACTTGCACTGGTGTGCTTTCGAACTACTAGGTTGGCAGAAGCTGGGACAGCAACAGGAGCCCACCCTGTTGTGTGGATTCAAACCTCCAACCTTCTGATCAGCAAGCCCAAGAGGTTCAGTGGTTTAGACCACAGCGACACCTGCATCCCTTCCTTTGCCAATTGCCTTCTGTTCATACAGATTACCAATGAGAAAAAAATCTCAGCATTTTGAAAGGAAGCAACATTAGGCTGGAACATAATCCAGGAAAAGCAATACACAGCACTAACATTTCCAGCTATATATAAATTAATAAGAGTGTTACAGTGCTAATTAGAAACATGTTTTAAAAATGCTGTAAGCTACAAGATGATTTGCAATTTCCCTAGTAGCTTGTAGGCAAAGAGCAATGTTTAGTAGCTAAAAAAACCTATTGTTTGGATGAATCCTTGTCCATCTCAGAAGTAATGGGAATCCAAAAGGCAGCTCAACTGTTCTGTCCATCAATTCAGCCTATCTGATTCAGAATAAGCACATTTTTAAAAAGATGCTAGTACAAGTAGCTTTTGATGAACTAAGCTAATGAACAACCTAATGGACATGAAAGTAAACACTCCACCTGGTTGCTAGTCAGCCTGAACTGGATTTCTCCTAAACCCCATATCTGATCATTGGTATATTATTCAGGTGAGCAAAAGGTTAGCCATATAGTTTTCAATGGGAGAGATGCACCATTCTGCTCCTCAGATCCTATCACTTGTTGGGGCACTGTCTATGGCCAAAGGAAAGGGGTTCAGGAATGAAAAAAAACTCAGTCCTAATGAGTAAGAAACCTTTCCATAAATGTCCTCTTAATATATGTGCAGTGAGGTATTTTTGTTCCCACAACTGGAGAAATTGCTCTAGAATTTTGCAGTTCAGCCTTTCTTATTTACAAGAATAACGTATAAATGCCCACTAGTTTTTTTTATGCCAAAGTGGCTGAACTAAACATGTTCCCTTTCAGCCATTTTTGAGGGTTATAGCATGGGGTGAGAGGTGGGGTGCCAAATGCTCTTGTTGCCTGGATTCTTCAGCGTTCAATTTGCCAACAACACACTTGGAAAGCTGTAAGCTTTTTTGGAACTTTGTAATATGTGGGTTTGCTCTGATGGTATCCCATTCCTTGTGATAAATACTCCCTTCTCCACATATGGAAAAGTGGCCTAACCTTGAGGAAGCATGCATTTCACACAGCTCTTTCAGTGACCTGTGCAGTTGAAGGAGAAACGTCAGAATGATGCATTGCAACGTGAACCGGAGGGTTGTTACAACCTGGTTTTGCCATCATTGGGGCTTCCCTTGGGGAAGTGATGTTTGCACACCTTTCATTAATTTATTACCCCAAAAGTAATGTGTGCGTATGTTTATGTAGATCTTCCTCCACAGTACAGAAGGGATAAAGGAATGCATGCTGCACAAGAGAATGTGGCTCTTTATACCTGCATCGTATTTATGAAGCGATTTAAACCCTAGCCACCTAATCATATGTTGTGGTATCATTTAAATGTACCTTCCAAAAGGCTCCTGTTTTCTTGTTGTTACTTCTAAACCATTTCTCAGTATCTCCCTTTCCTTTGCACGCACATGAAAAGTGGATATCAAAATTGCCTCTTATCCCCAGACTTGTTTTGGCTTCTGTTTCATTGCCAGCTTCATTAGTAGGCAAGACTTGTTTTGACTAGTTTAAGAGAGTTTGTGTTGTACATATTTTGGGTTTAAGGGATTTCTTTTTTAAAGTACCATTTTAATTCCAGGACAGCAACAGCAAAACCTCAGACATTGCAATTTAATTCCTTAAGAGGAATTTGTACCAATTTGCTTTAGATATTTAAACCCAATATCAAACACCTGGGATTTAATGTCAGAAGGTGGGGTTGGACATGTCACTTAGCCACAAGTACCTATTTAGAATGAAATAAAAGACTTGGCTGAAAAATGTCTACATTCTATTTTAGACTCTGAAAAGTACTAGCCTTGTAAATATTCCCTGGGTAACCTGTAGCCGCAAGAAACCTCCAATGGTAAATACTTTCATGTTTGCTAGGAGATGAAGCTATAATGTATAAACTAGTTTAAAGAGACATAGTGGCATCTATTGCACCTGATGACCTATTACAGAGATGGGAAACCTGCAGCCCTCCAGATGATGATGGACCACAGCTCCCATCATCCCTGACCATTGGCCATGTCAGCTAGGTTTGATGAGAGTTAGGAGTCCAACTGTCTGGAGGACCACAAGTTCCCCATCCTTGTCCTAAAGACCTGAGTTGCTATCAAAGAGTGAACCACACATGCAGCTGGCAGCTCAGAGGGAGGGAGAAGTGGAACACACCAAGTCTTTCTTACAAGAGTAAAGGCTGAAGCAGAAATGTTTCAAGCAAATCTGCAAATGCAGGGCTCACTCATGCGCTCACAAAAATGTCATTTTATGGTGTATTATTATTGTCCATCAAATCACAAGTATAGGAAGTGATCCCAAAGCTGTACACTTCAAAGTGAAATTAAGCAATACACCAGTTGACAAAAGACACAGAAGTATTCCAACATTTGGCTTCAGTTCACAGTCCTTTAGAGGCAGAGATTAGGACTGAAGATTTGAAGCATATCAGCAACACACCCCTATAACATATCAGACAGGTGCTACCCCTATTATCTTTTTGGCACCTGTTGAAGATTTTCCTTTCCCAACTAGCCTTTTAAGTGGAAGATTTTATTCTAGCCTGGGCCTGTACTGGACTTGGAAATTGTCTTTTAGATATGTTGGGACGTGGTCTAAACCACTGAACCTCTTGGGCTTGCAGATTACAAGGTCAGCAGTTCGAATCCACATGACGGGGTGAGCTCCTGTTGCTTTGTCCCAGATCCTGCCAACCTAGGAGTTTGAAAGCTTTCCAGCATGAGTAGATAAATAGGTAATGCTGTGGCAGGAAGGTAAACAGCATTTTTGTGCGCTCGGGCACTCGTCACGCTGTTCCATGCACCAGAAACAGTTTAGACATGTTGGCCACATGTTTCCCTGTCTGTGGACAAATGCTGGCTCCCTTGGTCTGAAAGTGGAGATGAGCGCTGCACCCCATAGTTGAATTCGACTGCACTTAACTGTCTAGGGGTCCTTTACCTTTTACCGTACTGTTGATTTTTTTGTTGTTAAATAGCTTCAGGATGTTTCACAGGGAGCAATTAAATAAATGAATAAAATTAGCTGGATAGCTAAATTCTGGATACTCTTCCTAGGAGATTCCTAGCTGCTAAGTCAAAAAGACATCAATTATGGAAATGTCTGTAAAACCAGGAGTTACAGGACCCTGGCAAGCATGTCACTAGTGCAGCATGCATCTTCTCTGTGTTTATGGACCTCATACAGGATTACAAACTCCTCATGCTTGCTTTTAACAAGTGAAGAACTTCTGCTGGACATCTATGTGTTGTCAATGTTCTGTTAAAAAGCTTTAACAGAACTTCTCTAAACTAATCTGGACATTACACAGCAGATGCCATAACATTTTCTAGTAGTAATAGTAGTAGTAGTAGTAGTAGTAGTATGCAGTCATGGGATACTCCAAATGTGACTAAAGAAATAGTGGTGAGAGGGACCACTAGGATGCCCTCAGCAACTGATCACAATCCCATGATCTTTTTTTCAAATGAAAAAAACACAACAGAAGGCTGTTCCATACACCTACAGTATCATTTAACTGTAGCCCTCAAAATACTAAAAAATATGTGCAATTATGTTTTGGCTGCAGGTCTTCAAAAGAGCTCACTTAACCTAAAGAGAATATCACAGAAGCTGCCTTAGGGCATAATAAACATATATTTTAAAACACTACCATTAATAGGCATGATAAATTGCTGTTGAAAAACAGGAGGCCCTCCTTTTCCCCAGGCTGTGAAGAGCTTTACTGTTTTTCTCATCAGTTCTATGAATGAGGGCCAAACTGGATGTTGTACCACCAAGTCTATGGTCCTGAGATTTGCTGAGATAGTGGAGAATGGTATGAGCAAGGGGTGAATGCTTACAGTATCAGAGAGGGTCAGTGGATAGGAAAGAAGAGTGCTAAAAACATGTTTTTAGAATTCCCCACCCTCAACACATATAGTTTTATTGCTTCCAATATATAATAACACTTACAAAAAAGAGGAAAAGATATGAAAACAAAACCCCAATTTACCCCCTCCAGGCCATATCAATCTAGTTGCCAGTGTGGTGTAGTGGTTAAGAGTGGTAGTCTCGTAATCTGGGGAACCGGGTTCGTGTCTCCGCTCCTCCACATGCAGCTGCTGGGTGACCTTGGGCTAGTCACACTTCTTTGAAGTCTCTCAGCCCCACTCACCTCACAGAGTGTTTGTTGTGGGGGAGGAAGGGAAAGGAGAATGTTAGCCGCTTTGAGACTCCTTAAAGGGAGTGAAAGGCGGGATATAAAATCCAAACCCTTCTTCTTCTTCTCTAGTTAAGTTTGCCAAAGGCTAGTCAGTGTTTTGGGGTCTTTAGAATTCGGTGTGAGAGAAAAAATATCGCTGGGGTGATTTGGAGCTAAGAAATGGCAGCCAGAGGAGATACTGGGTTTTGCCTCTGATGTGTAGCATCATCACCTAACCATAGTTTCCAAGTCTACTGGTGAATTGCATATCCCCATCATAACTCCTCACTTTTTCCAGAACCTACTCCCTTCCAGGACTAGAGTTCATACATTAAATTCAGTGAGAAGCTCCTCCCTAATGCAAGAAAGCTTCCCTCACCCCCCTTCCTTTACGTCTTCTGACATCCTGACAGTGCGATTCAATACATGTTCATTTACAAATACCGGTAAACTCCGCTGAGTTAAATGGGATTTATTTATGCCATAAGTTTATTTGGATTTGGCTTGAATACAGCTTCATTTCTTCTGCCTACTACCTATGCTGTGTGTCTCTCCTATGTGTGAACTCCCTAGAGAAGCTAAGAAAGGATCTCTTTAAAACACAACTTTCCACAATCGTATCAAAGCGAGAACATTTTGCTTCAAAACGCCCCATATTTGAAGCTGATTGCAGTTTTTAGATTAAAGCAGTCCAGCGCCGGGATGCTTTAAAGCAAACGCTGTTTTGGAAAGATGAGGTTCTTTCCCAGCACTTGAAAGGGATCTTGACATAAGGGAACATCTGTACATATCTCTCTGTGTGTGTACGCTTTACTGTTATGACGGATATACATACCAAAAGAAGGGGCAAAAGGCACAGTTGTGACAGGAACAGACGGCACAGTCAGTTACCTCTCCCTGACCTTTTCTTTTTTCCCACAATTTAAGTTGGGGTGGTGGTGGGGGTAAAGGGAATATCTCTGAAGGGCTCAAATCTAATTGCCTCTCCAAGGAAAGAGTGGATCTTGTTTCAGCCTTGGAACTCCCTCTCACTGCATCCATCCACTCCCACACGGTCTCCAGTGCTGCCTTTACCTGCAAAGCATTTATTTGTAGCTTTAAAAGATATTTTGCAGGATTTATTAAAATTTATTATTATTATTATTTGGCCTCAATGGAGATATGGAATGGAGACAGCCATTCATCAAAGGAAACTAAATCCCATGTGCGCATTCTTCAGTTGCAAGTTCATAATACAATCCAATGCTTTCTTTAATTTTCTTCTGAAAACGGGGGGGGGGGCCTTCTCTCCCTCTCCCCCTCCCTCTCCCATTAGAATTTATCCTCATTTCCCTATTTTCTCTCTCTTCCTGTTCATTCTCAAAAGATATTCAGGATTTGACTGTGTTTTCATTCTTTTACATTTTTAATACCTCCCACAAAGCACCTTGCCTTATTATGATAAATGTCTTTTTCAGTAATGTTCTTCTAGCCTCACTAAATAAGCACAGCTTGCCATAAATTCGTTTTATTGGTTTTGTGAAAGATTTTGAAATGGGAGCATATTTAAACACACATTTTTTTACCTGCATTCTGAAGTTGTATAATGCCATGGTGCTACTCTATGTGTCCTGCTGATAATTTTTAAATGCCACTTAGACCTGTTCCCCCCTGCTATGGATTTCAGCAGCAGGCAGAGGTCTTCTGCCCTGAGCCACCTTGCATATGCATCCAGGAGAAAAAAATCAGTTTGGTTCAAGTGTTAATGTGAACTTATCTAATTTGCACTTGCTGAAACAATAGATGAGCAAGAACACAGCTATTTTTCTGAAACCCGCTCTTCTCCAAATTCTGTTTCTTCAACAAACTATATTAGTGAAAAATATTATACTAGGAAAATTGCTAAGATATGGTGAGCCACTGTCCCTGTAGTAGGATAAAACCGTCACATTTATATTGCACACAGATGTGGGTTCAGCCTGTATAGAAATCCTGCTATTAATTAAGATTTCATCTCATTCATATATATATATATATATATATATATATATATATATATATTTAAGTTTCAAGGTCTCATAACTGTGAAACACTGAATTGGGACTGTAAGGAGCTTTCAGCTGCTGATATGTGCACTTTTGGTATTTTGTTTCCTTCTTCATGGCACAGTTTTGATCATCTGTGAATTCCCTTCCTTTTCAATTTCACTGTTTTCCCATTGGGACACAGTACCTAAGGTGGTAGTGGTGACACTGAGTTAAATACATTATCACTTCTATATCTTCTGAATAGTGAACATTTCTGCTATGCCTGCTACAGTTACTTCCCCACTTCACACACACACACACACACACACACACACACACACACAAGCTATCACAGAGCTAGTGATTAGTGCTTTGAATTAGAACGCCAGTCATCTACAACTCACATATTCAGGAGTAATATGAATGTAGCCAATGTGGTGGCCTCCAGATGTTATCTAGCTCCCACCAGACCAGCCAGCACAGCCAATGATCAGGCATTATGGGATCTGGTGTTCCACAATATCAATGGAACATTAAACTGCGCACCCCTCTTCTAGCAGAACTACGGTAGATACCAAGCACTATTGTACCAAAACAAGAGGCAGTAAGGCTTCCATCCTATGCACACTTTTTATCTTATTTTATAAGAGTATTTTTGACCCACCAACCCCATTCAAATAAATAAGATGAAGAATCCCATGGTGACATACAATCAAATCACTCAAATATCATAAGATGCAGAGTACTTTAAAGGCAGTCAGCCTCACTGGAACACTGCTTGCATAGAATGGTGGCTAGATGTTCCCTTGGTGGCAAAACTCTCTGCTTTGCACCAAAATCTTAAGATGAGATTTCAGCCTCTCGTTGACAAATTCAGTTCCTAACTTTAAAAGGCATCTGTCTCCCTGTTGTCTCCATTTTCAGTGAATTCCTAGTTCCAGAATTCCTGAGCATGTCACCCTTTACACTTCATGATGAGGACAAAAAGAGCATTATCTGTAACAGCGGCAGTCAAGGTTTATAGATGCTGAGTTCATCACATTGCTGTTCAACATATGTTAAAGTGGATGTGCCTCCTGAATTGCAAAGGGATGGGTCAGTTAGATTCATCTTCATCCACTATAACTCTGCTAATCACCCATACTTCCTCCCTCCTTCCTTCCCATTGCAGTTAAGTTAGCACCAAAATGTTTTTTTCCCCCAACCAGGGCAAGAAAACATGCCATAGGCTTTCTTCTGGCAGCTTTGAAAGGACATGCCATTGTCTTCAACTGAAGCAGACTAGCGATAAACCTAATGTTGAAATATCTTGGAAAATTTTATGACAGAATAATTACATGTTTGTCTTCACAATCTGTCAGCAAGATGGCATCTGTCAGTGCTGTCTCTGGGCTGCAGTATTTATGCAGCTGTCTTCTATACATTACATATTTTTATTAACCATTTTAGCATTTAAAAAACCAACAGGATTCTCACAGTGTACCTAAATGATATAAATTCCATAGGATGTATAAGATCCTTTGATTTTGTGACATGATTTACGCACACCACTTCTCCACAGTTATGCTACTTAACCTACAAAATCCAGCATCCCTGAAAGCTTTGGGGTTTGAGGCTTTTATTAGTTCCTTTTCCTGGGGTGGTGGGAATTATATCTGTCTCTGGGTGTTAAAGATTGGATGCTGTTGCATTTTTTGTGAGTCATGCCCATCTGGAATGCGAACAGGGCTTTTTCCAACCGGAACTCAGTTCCAGCATCTCTCAGGTGGACACCATTGCCATTATAAGAGAACAAGGAAGTGTTCATGGTGAGTTCTGGCATCCCTTTTCCAAACCTATCCATTCTTAAGGAAATCAGCCCTGAGTGCTCACTGGAAGGACAGATCGTGAAGCTGAGGCTCCAATACTTTGGCCACCTCATGAGAAGAGAAGACTCCCTGGAAAAGACCCTGATGTTGGGAAAGATTGAGGGCACAAGGAGAAGGGGACAACAGAGGACGAGATGGTTGGACAGTGTTCTCGAAGCTACCAGCATGAGTTTGACCAAACTGCGGGAGGCAGTGGAAGACAGGAGTGCCTGGCGTGCTCTGGTCCATGGGGTCACGAAGAGTCGGACACGACAAAACAACTAAACAACAACAAGAGTTGGAAGGGACCCTGAGGCTTATGTAGTCCAACCCCCCTGCAACACAGGAATATCCAGCTGCCCCATGCGAGGATTGAACCTGCAACCTCGGTGTTATCAGCAGCAGCACACTCTATCCAAGAAGAAACTTTACATTCGCATGCACTACATTTCATTTATTTTATTTCCACATATGTTACAGTTAGTTACTTTGGATGCATGATGCATGTAGAATTACTTTTACAGAATTAAGACTTTTTATGTCCCCTGCCTTTCTGGAAGGCCATGATAAAAAAAAAGTTACCCTTAGAACAGAGTTTCTGTGTGTTTTGTAAAATGGTTATAGAGGATGTTGTTCACTCCATTATGCAGTGCCCGCCATATAAAGATCCTTATGAAAAATATCTGAGTATAGCTGGGGGGGGGGGGGGAAATGCTAAATCAAGTGAGTTTGTGTGCTTTTTGCTGTTGGACAAGAAACATTATGTTACTTTGCATGTTTCTCTATTTGCGCTAGCTGCCAGAAAATTAAGAGCCCAATTTGTGGCTCGACTCTGAATGTCTTTTATCTTTGTAATGGCTCATAGCTAAACAAATAAAATTGTTACTACTACTGCAGTTTAACACTTTTATGGTAGTAGAGCAGCTCAAAATCTCCAGCTTTTGTTATCCCCAGAGAGCATTTTAATGCTTTTTGAGAGCAGTGTGCAACCCTGGGCTTTAGTCCAATAAAGTTTTGAAGCAGATGTGTAGGTGTTCTTCTGCATGAGACCCTGGCTACTGATTTCCCCACCCTGCTCCAGCATTTGCAGTTTTCTCTGGCTCCGGCCAAAGCTTTTATTTATTATTATTATTAGTTTACCACCATGAGTTTAAACCTCCATGATCTTGAATATGATCTTCACTTGTATATGTGACAGCTACAGCCTAACCCACAATGCAAGGCTGCTTCAAAACAGCTAGTAGACTTTTGACAGCTGCTAGGAACCTGTTTGAAATTGCTGACTCCTTGCTTACCATGACCTGTGTTGGTTTTTGGTTTTGGTTAAAGAAAATATATATAGATATAAAAGGAGAATTCCCTGGATGTTTGGAGCAAGTCATCTTGGGTGAGAGCACCCCAGTAGAGATTTAGTATCACAAAATATGTAGCAAAGTGAAGGGTGGAAATATAGGTTGTTAAGCTTTTAAAATATCTAAACCACTGAGCCTAGGGCTTGCCAATCAGAAGGTCAGGGGTTCAAATCCCCACGACGGGGTGAGCTCCCATTGCTTGGTCCCTGCTCCTGCCAACCTAGCAGTTCAAAAGCACGTCA